GAATCCGACGAGTTAATGACCGTACGCAGCTGCTGGAGAATCTTTTGTCTTGTTTTGAGCATGATTCACGGCAGTTAGTTAGTTGTTGGTTCCTTTGTCATCTTTAAGAGAAAGTTTCTTGAACCTCCATGTTTTGTTTCTCTGTTGCAGTGTCAACAAGATCAGCACGCTGTCGCCCTTCGAGGATTGCAACAAACTGCAGGAACTGTATCTGCGCAAGAACAACATCTCGGATATCAATGAGATCGCCTACCTACAAAATCTCCCGGCCCTCAGGTATCTCTGGCTGGAGGAAAACCCCTGCTGCGATCGAGCGGGCGCCAAGTGAGTAACCTCGATTGAACTTACTACAATACACAAAAGGCAGATCTCCAAAGTATTTTTACCAATTGTTGAAAAAAAGCCCAGTACTTTCTATTGAAAGAAAATATTTATTTAAATCATTTTGAACTATTTTCTTTTAATTTCGTAGTTATCATTAATCATGTGATTTGTTCATGATATTTAGTTGCTTTAAACACTGCTCATGTAGATTTTGAGTAATATTTAGTTATCTGTGAAACGTGATATTTGGAGCAACGTGATGAATTCATTTTGCAAATGCTTTAGTTTTCTTTTTAGGAATAATAATGTCGATATATTTGCATTTATAATAAAACAAAATGACCACCTGTAAATCGTTTTGTCAAACTTGAAAAAACGCAATTACTAAGTTATCTTTTTAACAATAACATCTAAAAAATCTGGAATATCTCAGAATTAACAATATGGGTTTCTTTAAGGGTAAAAGAAAAATTTAATTTTTTAGAATGCTTACATGTATTTGATTTATAGTAGATGAAAGAGACCCCGAAAATGCTATTGTTAAGCTTAAAACAACGCAGTTTATAAGTATTAAGTTAACCGAACTGTGGTTAGTGCTCTAGAGAAGCCCCTAATGATCGTTCTCACCTCTGACTAACCGCAATCGCAGCTATCGGGCGCTCGTGTTACGCGCCCTGCCCAACCTGAAGAAACTCGACAATGTGGAGGTCACCCAGGAGGAGTTGGACGACGCATTGCGAGGAGGCGGTGGCGCCCCTACAGAGGATGAGGTGTACGAGGATGCCTACCAGCAGCAACAGCAGCAGACGTCCCCGCAGCAGATGCCGCAGCAGCAGCAGCAGCACAGCTACCCGCAACACTCACCGCCGCAGCATCAGCCGCAGCAACATCACCACCAGCAACATCATCAACCGCAGCAGCAGCATCAATCGCAGCAGCAGCGACGCAGCTCCAGTCCCATGAAAGAGGTAAATGGCTCCCATTGTCTGGGTGGATTTTCCCACACCACGCCCTGGTTTAGCGGCTATAATCTCTCGCCTTGGTAATGTAACCCCGTAATCAACTCTCGCCCCCGTCTTGGTCTATTTTTCCCCCTTTCCTCGAATCCTATTATTCCCATTAACACTTTGCTAACAAGCCGCCTCAGTTGGCCAGTCCGCTGGTCAATAACAGCAGTGATGGAAGCATCAGCCAAAGTGCCAGCGATCTCCACCAGGTCCAGGCGGCCCAGCCGCTGAAGGGTTCCCAGCCACCCACACCCACCAAGGTAAAGGGAGGTCAGCCAGGGAGTTGGGTTGAGTTCAGGGACCACTCTAATGGACCTATTCCCAACTATTACAAAGTAGTTCTTTTTAAAATTCCTTTTGATTTTATGGTTATTCACATTTGAAATATTATCAAAATATAATCAACTGTTTCTGTATTTGTTCAGTAAAACAAGTTGTTCCTTAGAAGTCGTTCATAATAATATACCTTAAGCTATAAGCTTTCCATCAGTATTTATTTCTGCTATACTTAGATACTTCGTTATTAAATTTTATTTGTATCGAGTTGAGTTGCCTTCCTAAGTTTCTATTGAATGTGGTACAGCATCATATAATCGTAATTCAGCATCTTGTAAGATCTGAGATTACTGTCCCCCTTTTCCTTAACAAAAATTCCCACTAATCTCGTTTCGGCATTCCCCCAGGAACCCGTGCATCCGCCATCGCCCATGTATAACACCATAACCAAAGAGCAGCGCACCTCCTACCACCAATACGATGTAAGATCCACAGTCCCCCCACCGCCAGAAAGACTACTAAATAACACCATAACAGCCCCACGCATCCGACATGACAGAATTGAGCTTGTTGCCGGGCCCACTTTTGGGGCCCTATATTTTTCGTAGGTTCGATGTTCGAGGCTCGAGGCTCAAGGGTGTGGGCCCGTCACACTCGAGTGGAGAGGCGGAAGTAGAAGGGCTAGGGGTTTGGGATTGGGGGTATAGTCACGCGATGGCTTCGACATGGTTAAGGTTCTCTCGTTTTCCCGCCGCCTGTCCAATGGGCCATTGTCTACTTGCCGGCTTTTGTGGGTTAAGTCAGTCAGTTGACTTTCAGACCGAGAGATGGGAACTGGGGGACAAACTATAATTGCCGAAGAAGCCCAAAACAAAAGTCCAAAATGAACTATATAAAATGGGTCTTTATGTATTCATACACGTGAGAAAAATACTTGAATAGGTGGCGGGGAATAATTGAAATTCTATGAGATTAGAGGGTTATCAAAAAAATAATACCTGAATTAGACATGCTTCTTACTATAGACAGTACTAGGTACTTAATTCAGGAAAAGCCATAAAATTTATTGCCGTGTAGCTTTCTTTATTTCTAATTGTGTTTTAAGTACATTGTGCCAGTAAAGGGCTTGTCCCTCCGAACAAACCACTGAACCAGAGGGAAATTACCCCCTCTCCGAATGACTTGCTGAACAATTTGTCATGTGTGGATTGCCCTGGGGACTGGGACTGGGGGATATCAACTCGAATCTAACGTTTCTAATCTGCTGCCTTTCTCACCAACCATGCACCGCTCCCAATTGCAACCTCTAAAACAAAAAATAATACAAAAAACCAACAAAAACCCAACTAAAATGCAAACCGCACCACTAACGCCTCACCGAACGGACTCGACGAGCAGCGCTCGCCGGGATCCGACCAGGAGAGTAGTCCGCACACAGCATACAGGGAGGTGCGGCCCACGCCGCTACCGCCCAGCATCTCTGCGCACTCGATGAAGGTAAGCCCGACCATCCTCACCAGAGGCGCAAGCGTGGCTCGATGGGTCGGGAAGATGGTGAAGCTATCTAATTGTGGTATTCCCGTACAGGAGTACTATCAGTCGGACAGGCCCGCCTACCCGGCGCACTACCGCCACAGCCAGACGGATCTCACCGAGTGGGAGGAGCACCAGCAGGCGCCCCAGGTGCATCACAATCCCTATGGCAGCCAAATGCAGCTGCATCATCCGCAGCGACGCAGCGCGGGACCGGAGACGACGGCCTACCGGAATGGCAGTGCCCGGGAGAATGGCGGCGAATGGGATGCGGAGGACAGGCCCAGGTCGAGGTGAGGTCATCGAACGGGTCAGCTGGCGGTTGTGCCAATTAGCTTATCGCGGTTTCCGCTTATTTTATTATGGGTAAACAATCTGACGTATCATGGATAGCCAGGCGGTTTGTGTTTACCTTAAATGTTTACTGGGTACATATTAAAGTGGGTTTGTGTCTGCTTTAAAAAAAAAAAAACACAAACTTATTTAATTTTTATTTTTAACTAATAATAAATGTAAAAAATAGCCACTTCAATTTGTTAAAATGAAAAATATGTAAGCTACATATTTATTTTATAACGTAATTATAATATTAGAACTGGTTTCGAATACGATATAGTTCAACATGCTATTTCTAAACATGTTAATAGGGAACAAGGTTTAGCACCTAGTATCTAAGTGACTTAATTGCCTTATTAATTACTTTAAACTAATTTATGTAATCGTTTTCCAGACGACCCGAGGGGAGATATAGTGACTCGACTACGACTTTATCGGCCTCCGTGATGAATCATTATACGGGCTACCATCGCAGGCCCGTTAATAGGGTGAGTATAAAATCTGACACATCGCCGATAAGCTTGATCAATAACTGAATCATATGCTTCTTTCGCAGAATTCGAACCTACTGTCCGCCACTCTCTGTCTGGTGAAGGAGCTGGATTACGCCAGTCTGGAGGTGCTCGAACACGCCGTGCGATGTCGCATCGATGAGATGGCGGGCGAATGATGAAGACGACTCTCTAATCGCATGTCGATTAGCTAATCCAATGCCTTTGGGGAGTTTCAAAACCACAAATGACCAGAAAATCACTTAAAAGACAGGCAGCATAGGATGCCAAGGAGGAAATAAAACGCTGATATTATACTAACGTCTTAAGCAACAAACAAAAATGTAAACAAATCAGATACTTAACGGGGATAACGATTCATACTTGCCAATTGTAAACTGTCATAGTGTAACTAGCAACTTTTGTAAGCATTTTGTCATGTAACGAACTTTGCTAACGGAATCAGAAAATGGATGAGAATCATAGGAGATAATCGCAGATCGATCGTTTAATTAATGCTTAGATTGATTTCCGCCTCTTGATCCCAGATCCCGTTCAGTTGAGCCCCGATCGTGCACACAGACCACAAAAACTAGCCTTCTTTTGTACTTAACTCGCGAAGATCGAAACTAACGAACTAATGTCGCCCAAGGCGCCAAGCACAATGTATCTTCCTTGTTTCTTTGTAAGATTAGTTCAAATTTATACTCATGACTTTGTTAAATATTTTGTACACGAAAGCAATTAACGCTAAACCTTAATTTTAATATATTTACCTATAATGCAATGAACACGTCCAGTTTATGTTTGCCGTTCTCTATTTAATGAATGCGTTGGAAACTATGCGAAAAATAAACAAATTAACAGTAGATAGGGGTTTAAAATGTTTTGATTAAAGAAGGGTTATTATAGAACTCCTTTTAGGGATCATTGTATTTATTTTGTGAAGTAATTACAATATATGCTCTAATATATAAGAGGTATATAATTGGGACTTTCACTGATAAAATAGAAAACCCATTCCATATTAGGTTTATTTTTAATCATTAGCTTTATTTCAAACTAAATGTTAAAGGTAAATGGCCAGCCAGCGGAACACTGCCCGAGTGGTACACAGCCAGTTGTTGATAAATCCAATCTAGGAACATTTCCACATTCGTGTAGGTAGCCGGCAAGTTTACCTGGCCACAGCCGATGCCCCAGTTGACGATGCCAATCTGTTCAAAGCGATTTGGGTCCTGCTCCATGGGACAGAATAGGGCAGATCCTCCGTCGCCCAGGCAGGCATCCTTATCCCTTTCTCCACCGGCGCAAATCAAACCGGCAGGGAGCTCATAATCTGCTCCTAATCTGGTTTTTCTCAACTGACCCTGGCATTCTGCTCTTGTTACCATGGGTAAATCGATTTTCTTTAGGATATTCGAATAATTGTTCTCCTCAAACGCCTCTTTTCCCCATCCTGCCACCAAACAGCGTCTCTGCTTGAAGGGTCTTTGCTGACTGGGCAAACATATAGATCGAATGTTCGCCTTCAACTCGAAGGGAGTTATTAGGAAAAGAAGTGCTATGTTGTTTTCTCCCAACCGATAAGAGAATTCCGTGTGGCGCACAATACTGGCCACATGACGTTCCTCCGATGGCAATGGTTCAGTATGGGAAACCATATCATGTTCACCTGCTCTGACCACAATATCCGCCTCAACCATGTTCTCGAGGAGATGAGCTGCTGTCAGGACTACTCCCGGTGCAATCAGAGAACCGCCTCCAAAGAATTTACCCTTGTTAAACAGGGCAATTACCCAAGGATATTGGCCAAGTCTTAAGTGATTTTCAGCTACCTTCTCGCTGGCATCCAAGCCACTTGGATTACTTAGACCGCAAAGTTGATTTGGGTCTGGTTGAAGATAATCCATGGGTGGGAATCCATTGAATCTCACTGGGTCCTAAGCATGTTAGTAAAGTAAATGGTTAATAAAATAAAAATTAAGTCCACGGCATATTTCTTACGTGTCCAAAATGTTGTCCAGCAACGCTAAATAAAATGCAACCTAAAATAAAGGTTTCGATTGTCCAGTTTTGTGGCATGCTTGCTCGAGATGAAGAATTTCCAAGCACTGCATGGAGAAGATGCCTGCTCATTTCATATATACTCATCAAAAGATCGCCTTATCAGAAATTAATATATGTAAATAAGTACATAAGTATAATAATTATAAGAAATAATCAAATTCTTTTGAATTGAACTCAAGGCAATTAGCCTTATTTTTTTTTCTAAGCTAGAAAGCTTTTTTATTATTTCATATTTTGATACGGTAAAATTGACTCTCTACATTTGCGTGTATTTTACACGCGTTTTCTACATAAAATACCTACGAACTGAAAAATAAACTGCCTTAAAAAGACAAAAAATTAATATTTATTATATTAATAAAAATATAAATTAACAGATTTACGGTATCCTTGGGATTTTCCGTGTTTCCAATAGCTTCAGGAATCTAGATTCCATAACATGAGTAATTGGACCCCGATTTTTAAGTGTGATACCTCTATGAGTTTGTGGTTGAATTGTCTAATGTTCTGCATTTAAATTGTACCTTTAAAAGAGGGTCCAAATTTTAGCCCATTTTCATGTCAGATTTTTCCGAATTTGCAATGGCTTCCAGAAGGTGACCCAAAACTGCCCTTCTAGATTCCATAACTTGAGTAATTGGACCCCGATTTTCAAGTGTGATACCTATATGAGTTTGTGGTTGAGTTCTCTAATGTTCTGCATTTAAATTGTACCTTTAAAAGGGGGTCCAAATTTTAGAACATTTTCATGTCAGATTTTTCAGAATTTGCAATGGCTTCCAGAAGGTGACCCAAAACTGCTCTTCTAGATTCCATAACTTGGGTTATTCGACCCCGATTTTTAAGTGTGATACCTCTATGAGTTTGTGGTTGAATTGACTAATGTTCTGCATTTAAATTGTACCTTTAAAAGAGGGTCCAAATTTTAGCCCATTTTCATGTCTGATTTTTCCGAATTTCCAATTGCTTCCAGAAGGGTACCCAAAACTGAACTTCTAGATTACATAACTTGAGTAATTGGACCCCGATTTTGAAGTGTGATACCTCTATGAGTTTGTGGTTGAATTCTCTAATGTTCTGCATTTAAATTGTACCTTTAAAAGAGGGTCCAAATTTTAGCCCACTTTCATGTCTGATTTTTCCGAATTTTCAATAGCTTCCAGAAGGGGACCCAAAACTGCACTTCTAGATTCGATAACTTGAGTTATCGGACCCCGATTTTGAAGTGTGATACCTCTATGAGTTTATGGCTAAATTATCTATTGTTCTGCATTAAAATTGTACCTTTAAAAGAGGGTCCAAATTTTAGCCCATTTTCATGTCTGATTTTTCCGAATTTCCAATTGCTTCAGAAGGGTACCCAAAACTGAACTTCTAGATTACATAACTTGAGTAATTGGACCCCGATTTTGAAGTGTGATACCTCTATGAGTTTGTGGTTGAATTCTCTAATGTTCTGCATTTAAATTGTACCTTTAAAAGAGGGTCCACATTTTAGCCCATTTTCATGTCTGATTTTTCTGAATTTCCAATGGCTTCCAGAAGGGTACCCAAAACTGCACTTATAGATTACATAACTTGAGTAATTGGACCCCGATTTTGAAGTGTGATACCTCTATGAGTTTGTGGTTGAATTCTCTAATGTTCTGCTTTTAAATTGTACCTTTAAAAGATGGTCCAAATTCTAGCCCATTTTCATGTCTGATTTTTCCGAATTTTCAATAGCTTCCAGAAGGGGACCCAAAACTGCACTTCTAGATTCCATAACTTGAGTTATTCGACACCGATTTTGAAGTGTGATACCTCTATGAGTTTGTGGTCTAATTCTCAAGTGTTCTGCATTTAAATTTTACCTTTAAAAGAGGGTCCAAATTTTAGCCCGTTTTCATGTCTGATTTTTCCGAATTTCCAATGGTTTCCAGAAGGGGACCCAAAACTGCACTTCTAGATTCCATAACTTGAGTAATTGGACCCCGATTTTGAAGTGTGATACCTCTATGAGTTTGTGGTTGAATTCTCTAATGTTCTGCATTTAAATTGTACCTTTAAAAGAGGGTCCAAATTTTACCCCGTTTTCATGTCAGATTTTTCCGAATTTGTAATGGCTTCCAGAAGGTGACCCAAGACTGCACTTCTAGATTCCATAACTTGAGTAATTGGACCCCGATTTTGAAGTGTGATACCTCTATGAGTTTGTGGTTAAATTCTCTAATGTTCTGCATTTAAATTGTACCTTTAAAAGAGGGTCCAAATTTTAGCCCATTTTCTTGTATGATTTTTCCGAATTTTCAATTGTTTCTAGAATGGGACCCAAAACTGCCCTTCTAGATTTCATAACTTGAGTAATTGGACCCCGATTGTAATATGTGATACCTCTATGAGTTTGTGGTTGAATTCTCTAATGTTCTGCATTTAAATTGTACCTTTAAAAGAGGGTCCAAATTTTAGCCCATTTTCATGTCTGATTTTTCCGAATTTGTAATGGCTTTCAGAAGGTGACCCAAAACTGCACTTCTAGAATCCATAACCTGAGTAATTGGACCCCGATTTTGAAGTGTGATACCTCTATGAGTTTGTGGTTGAATTCTCTAATGTTCTTCATTTAAATTGTACCTTTAAAAGAGGGTCCAAGTTTTAGCCCATTTTCATGTCTAATTTTTCCGAATTTGTAATGGCTTCCAGAAGGTGACCCAAGACTGCACTTCTAGATTCCATAACTTGAGTAATTGGACCCCGATTTTGAAGTGTGATACCTCTATGAGTTTGTGGTTAAATTCTCTAATGTTCTGCATTTAAATTGTACCTTTAAAAGAGGGTCCAAATTTTAGCCCATTTTCATGTCTGATTTTTCCGAATTTGTAATGGCTTTCAGAAGGTGACCCAAAACTGCACTTCTAGAATCTATAACCTGAGTAATTGGACCCCGATTTTGAAGTGTGATACCTCTATGAGTTTGTGGTTAAATTCTCTAATGTTCTGCATTTAAATTGTACCTTTAAAAGAGGGTCCAAATTTAATCCGTTTTCATGTCAGATTTTTCCGAATTTGTAATGGCTTCCAGAAGGTGACCCAAGACTGCACTTCTAGATTTCATAACTTGAGTAATTGGACCCCGATTTTGAAGTGTGATACCTCTATGAGTTTGTGGTTAAATTCTCTAATGTTCTGCATTTAAATTGTACCTTTAAAAGAGGGTCCAAATTTTAGCCCATTTTCATGTCTGATTTTTCCGAATTTGTAATGGCTTTCAGAAGGTGATCCAAAACTGCACTTCTAGAATCCATAACCTGAGTAATTGGACCCCGATTTTGAAGTGTGATACCTCTATGAGTTTATGGTTAAATTCTCTAATGTTCTGCATTTAAATTGTACCTTTAAAAGAGGGTCCAAATTTAATCCGTTTTCATGTCAGATTTTTCCGAATTTGTAATGGCTTCCAGAAGGTGACCCAAGACTGCACTTCTAGATTTCATAACTTGAGTAATTGGACCCCGATTTTGAAGTGTGATACCTCTATGAGTTTGTGGTTAAATTCTCTAATGTTCTGCATTTAAATTGTACCTTTAAAAGAGGGTCCAAATTTTAGCCCATTTTCTTGTATGATTTTTCCGAATTTTCAATTGTTTCTAGAATGGGACCCAAAACTGCCCTTCTAGATTTCATAACTTGAGTAATTGGACCCCGACTGTAATATGTGAGTTTGTGGTTGAATTCTCGAATGTTCTGCATTTAAATTGTACCTTTAAAAGAGGGTCCAAATTTTAGCCCATTTTCATGTCTAATTTTTCCGAATTTCCAATGGCTTCCAGAAGGGTACCCAAAACTGCACTTCTAGATTCCATAACTTGAGTAGTTGGACCTCGATTTTGAAGTGTGATACCTCTATGAGCTTGTGGTTGCATTCTCTAATGTTCTGCATTTAAATTGTACCTTTAAAAGAGGGACCAAAGTTTAGCCCTTTTTCTTGTATGATTTTTCCGAATTTTCAATTGTTTCTAGAATGGGACCCAAAACTGCACTTCTAGATTTCATAACTTGAGTAATTGGACCCCGATTGTAATGTGTGATACCTCTATAAGTTTGTGGTTGAATTCTCTAATGTTCTGCATTTAAATTGTACCTTTAAAAGAGGGTACAAAATTTAGGGTAAGTGGACCCCGATTTCGATGTGGTATACCACTATAAACTTATGGTGAATTTTTTAATATTCTGCATTAAAATTGTTCTTTTAAAAATTTGTCAAATATGATTAACATTTCCACTCCCTTAATCTTTTTTATAAGCTCCGATCCCTTTCGATTTCCCAATAAAACACGTATTTTTCTTTTTTTTTGTTTAGAGGGCTTTACAACATTTAACGTATATAAGATAATATTTGCCTTTATTTGGTTGTGTATTTGTTTGCTTTGGTTATTTGTTGTGTAATCGCCTTTATTTTTATTTTTCTGTGTTTATTTTGACTATGATCTCGGACATTACTGTTTAGGATAATGCCTGGCCATAGGATAAACTGAAAAAACGAAACTGCGAAACGGTATAATCGGTTCGAAACGGTTTTCGACTCGGTTTTTCGTAATTGATGATGATGTGTCTGTTGGTTATAAATATATTATGGATTATGGATATTATTCCGGCATAATCCGTCTGATCGGCTCGTTAGCCGCTGGTATTCATGGCAGAAACGCAACGCCTAACACATATACATATACATAAATGTTAAGTGCATTTCGTATATTATATTACTGAGTGATTAACTTGCTACACATCGATATACATACTGAAGCCGCATTAGGTTATCAATGAATGTGCTCTGAAAATTGCCTTAAATACTGCGATATTCTCGGTAATAACTTTGGTGCAATACAATATATTGTTATTTACTTTTTTTTTTGATAAGTGCATGGTTAATATATTAGCAATAGTACTGGTATATAGACACTGAGTATGCGAACTTCCTTGCCTGCTGTTCTCCTCAAAAGTTATAGTTAATTATTGTCAGTCACAGCGTCGCGTTTGTCACAACAACGTGTGCTTGTATTGACTATATCTTCGAGGTTTAAATCGAAAATGTTATTATTATTATAGTTGATATAGAATATCTTATTAACTAAATGGCAGCTGACTGATCTTGTTGTCGCTGCCGCAACGCATGTCTTCCAGAATGCGATTTGCTGATATTGTCTTCCATTTCAATGCAATGCGAAAAAATGTCTTCCAAACACACAGATAATATGCATATAAGGTATTTTATATGCGATTATTAATGCTGAACAATATGACACCTAGATATTAGAATAACTAAGGTTTACATTTTGTTTATATATATTTATATATATATATACGGGTCTGGTTGATCCAGTATGTCCCGTCTGAGTTTCTGATTTGCAATCGCAACTCATTGTGTGGATATATATAGACCAATTACAATTGTTTTTCATTAGTAAGTACATGTATATTGTTATATTTTTATGCTTTAGGGCCGTAACCAACACTAAACTCTTGGTTTGTTTTTGACCTAATTGCGACGCCATAATTGATGCTGATTTAAATATATCAACGATTTTGATTTGCCAATAACTTGTAAGCCAAAACAAATGAAATTCTTTGGATACCAACTTGTTTTTGCCTCGTGGTAAATTGATATGCTGATTCCATCGAACCAAGGTGTTATTATAATGAAATAAATGTGATTGGATATACTTTTGGGTATACCACGATATGTTGTGTACTTTGATATTAGTTGGTTGTTGTTGATTTCTATACTTCTGTCTCCTTAGTCCAGCCTCTTGACTAATCACTTAAATACGGGTTGTGCCCGTCCGGGGAATTCGGATCCGCTTTGGGAAAGATCCTAATCCTCCGAGGCGGCGCACTGGAAGCCCTTTGTGATTCTGCTGTTTCCGAAAGGGGGTTTTAGGCCCTGTCCGCTTACGTTATTTAGTTACATTTAATTGAAATTAGTTACAAATTAATTGATTCGCATAGGGATTTTTTGCTTCTCTTCTCCTCCTCCTTCTCGTAATTTTTCCTCCTTTTTTTTGATTTTTCTATAGTTTTTCTTTTTTTTTCTTTACAGTATTGAACTAAACTTTCGTAACAAGTTTTCCGATATAGAATATATCATTTATGAAAACAACACTAGCACTAACTGAAGTCCAAAAACGAAGAACAACAAAACATCATATAATTCTCGATCTATATATAATGGGTTTGTGATTTAGCACCTCCATCGGGAGCGATCCCCTCAGGAAGGTGGGGATCGCTCAGCTGAAGAACGGCGATAAATCACAGTTGCACAAAGACCCGCCATCGCCAGTCTTGCAGAGCACCTTGCACACTTCGTCCCAGTCCGGAGCCACAGTGGTCGTCGTATCCGCAGCCGACCCGGCTACCACGGGAGCTACTGATGATGATGTTTCTTCGTCGACCGATCTCTGGAGTGTCATCTCCTGGGCACTGGAACCGTGTGTTGGATCGCCCTGCTCGATACTGGCCTTCGTCTCCTCCATCCGGAGATCCTCCTCCTCCTTCTGCTCCACCATCCTGCGCTCCTCCTGCTGGCAGGGACTGCAACCGGGCAGGGAGCGACCTTTCTGCCCGCAGAAGCTCGAGCAGATCAAGTCGCCCTCGACACCTGGAAAATTATTAAATGGCAGCGATTAGAATGTATTTTGTTCAGACTAGAATTATATTGCAAATACACTATCAACATACATTCCTTTTGACCTTTGTTAGGTCAATGTGCTACTTCTATTGAGCAATATGATATAAAGTACATCACTATAGAACTAAATCTCTTTAGTCTCTGAATATTATTAATATTATAAGCACTTTTTGGAAAATAATATTAATATAATATTTAACAAATTCAAAATGTCTTTCTTTTCTTATCATTACCTTTTTAAACAATAAATAGGCCACATGTATTTAAGAATATTTTATTTCAGAAAGTAAGAACTTAAGGCTGTATCAATTTTTTTTTTAAATGATCACTGATTTTGAAACCAACGATTTTTGTAATGTTTTTAGCAATACATTTATAAAAACTGTTAAGTTTCTGCTTATGTATCTACTTACCCCTAGGCAGTCCACACAGTTGCCGGCACTTGGCCACATCCAACTCTGGTCTCAGGATCGGGTTCTTGGCCCCATCAGGCGTTAAAGCAACGCCCAGGCCAGCTCTGAAAAAATCAACAAAAAAATGCTGATTAAATAAAATTAAGGAAGTCTTAAGTTAAGTTAAGCTAAGCCGTTCGTAGTTATTCTTTACGCTAAAGCTTTGACTTCATAGGCTACAAAATTGTATTACTGCAGAATGAGTCAAAATATTATTTATTGTAAATTTCATCTTTTAAATTTCAGGTTAATATTTCCACAATATACGCCAGGATGAACTCTAAATATTTTTTGAACTGAGCTATATTTAACCTATAAAAAAATTATACAGATCCTTAGAAAAATGTGAACGATCGATGTTGTAAGTTTTTGAATTTAAATCTTTTATTATCAGCGGAATACTTATAAATTTTATAAATGTGAGAATGCCATTACTTATCGAAAATGTTAAAACAAAGTACAAAGTTTTAGAATGCTTTTCAAAAAATATTTATGTACTATTAACGAAGTTTTGCAAAAAATATCAAACAGACATTTAATTTAAAAATCATAAAAGCTTTATTTAATTTTCCAATTTGTTCACACTATCTCAATGTTTTAGTCAATTTCGAGAACCGATTATACTTAACATATTTGGCACTTCACAAAAACATTGCACACACGCCACGATATTAGAAAACATATCAGGAATGTAGATTATAATTGCATGACAGTCGCGATAGCGAAAAAACCTTGATAGAAACCACTTGAAAATCCGACGGGTTTGTCACAAACACTCTTTTGTTTAAGTTTTGTTATTATCATCATTAGTTCGTACTTTTTGGGAAAACCTACACTTGCCAAAAAACACTTGAGTCACTTAGCGCCACTCCTGACGCTCCAAGTCACTTTACTTTGGTAACCTCAAGAGTTTTGGATTGCTGTTTATCCGAAACTTACCCGCAGAGCTCTTTACACAGCAAACTCCAATCCTGAACTGCGCTGATGGTTTGGATGTCTTCAAGGATTTTGGCTGCTGAATGCGATGGCAACGCAGCATCCCCCAAAGTTTTGTCCTTCAGGACCGGCGATGACGTCACAGCCTGCGCAGACGCAGAAGCAATCAGGATTATAACCAATGAGAGACCGTAATGGAATCCACATCTCCCCATTTTTTCCTGTCCCATTTCCACACGCTTTCCCATCGCTGGGCTGAAAAGAGACGGGGAAGATTACAAGATTGGGGGATGGGTTCCTGGGGTGTTTGGGCATGGTTTGGGGGCGTATTATCCTTGGGGGGAGCAAAATGGAGACCTTACAATAGGAGCAATTGTGCTCGAAATGCAATTAACGCGCTCTCAAAAATAGGCAGAAAAAAGCAGCCTTCGGGGAGATTTTGGTTTCCCCATAGGGCCTAATCCCTCCACCATTGTTATCCCGAGTATTTTGCTATCCGAATTTCATGCGCTTGATTTGCCAAACCGAAAAGGGTTATGCAATCGCCTGTCTCCCAGATGCTCGAAAAGTTCCTGGCATCCTGACCATGCTTTTGTAACGGATATTTTCGTCTAAAATACCTCACAAAAATACCTGGGCTAACCAACCTGCTGCTGGAATCTTATTTTGTCATCGTAATGACAGGCTAAGCAGACGGGAGACCCAAACTCCATTTTGTCCTCGAAAAATTTTTATGGCCCACGGGTGAAGAGCATTCTCCGGTCCACCGGTTCGCAGTTGAGAGTCGAGTGCGAAAGAGGACGCTTCGCCCTGGCCAAAAACTCCCAGTCTGAATTAACTTCCCGACAAATTCTCACCCATCCGCATCCGTGGGTGGCACCAGGCTCCAAACATTTTCGCCTATCTGGGTTACAGGGCCTACTTGCGCTACGTGCAATCACAGCCAGGTGAGCATCCTATTTTCTGCTCGAGAGCTCGTTTCATTGTCTGATTCCGTTCGCTAGTTATACCCTTTCAAAAGGTATACGTAGTTTTTATCCATCTTAAAAAGGGTTTTATGAAAAAATAATAATGCATTCCTACACGTAAATCTTGTTATATTATAATAAAAATATTTAGGGAGTTCAGTTTTATTAGAAACTTTTTCAGATCCATGACATCTATCACTGATGTAATATTATTCATCACATTCTTTAAAAGAAAGTTAAACAATTTATAAAGATACGTTTTTATATTATTACTATTACTATAAGTATTATGTTTTACATTATTTTAATAAAATTATTAACCAGAGGTTTTGTTTAAGAATCCTAACTTAACAACTTATGAAATGTTCAATGTACAACTTGAGACTATTACCTAATATTTCGGAATGCTGACTTAAAAGATCAGTTAGCTTATATATCTTTTTAAAAAAAATTAGCTTAGTTCATATATTGGCTCATTATATTGAGGCCCATTTACAGCGCTAACTTATTGAGTTCAAACCATATATATATTGCCTTGACTTAATAAGTGAAAACAACCAAAAAAAACAGAATGACCCAAATTTATGCCCTCAACTCGGTAAATCAATTGAGTCAAGGCAGTATATGGCCTCAAGTAAATTTAGTTAAGGCCATATAGTTACGTGATGTTGCTTTTGGGTGTAACTACACTATTTCAGGGTATTTTAAGCACAGCTCTTAAAATTGTTTAAATCATTTAATCCCATTGTTGTTCATGTCTGCTTCTGTATCCGTTTCCCTTTACAACTTACTGTGCTTTTCGAAAAGTTTGACTCAATTAAATCCAATTGTTCGGTGCACCTGCCCCACTTGAAATGCTTAAACTCTTAACTCGACTGGATTTATATAAAAGCTGTCCGATCCAAATGGTAGCAGTTGGTGAACTGAGCCCCTGGCCAAAGCAAAATCCGATGCGAAAATCCAACTGGCTAATAATAAATGCTTTTGATGGCCTTATCTGCCGGTGTCATAGATTCAAGTGCGATTCAGTGGATATACTATCACAGATGGAACATCGCCCCTTTCGGTCTGGTTTTGATAGAGAGTGCCTAATTATTATTGGTAGCACATGCTATTCGAGAGGCTAGAGATAAGCCCTGACTTTATTTTGCCATATTTTAGACTGGCCAAATTCCAAAAGGTGTTTGCTATCGGAAATATTTGTCTGACACCTGTGATGGATGGTCTTTTATAAAGGGTTAAGATTTTAGTGCGCAAAATAATATTAAATGAGTGCCAATTTTGTCACCCGATTTTAAGGATCTACTAAATTATAGAATTTTAAATATGGTTAGATTATGATTTTTTGAATAACAAGTATTCATAGTTTAATATCATATATTAAGACTGATGTAATAAAAGATAATGATAAAGTCTTTAGTGTTGCCTCATTAAAAGTAAGGATTTTTAACTAGTTAAGATTTTGAGTAAGGGAAAATAGCCTTGTTGAATTTTTATAGTAATTTATAAAGTTTGGAATGATCCCAACTGTTACAGCCACATTACAACTTTGGAAAATGTTTGCGATGTCTTGTTAAACAACCGCCTACTTCATTTTATTATTATTGTAGAAATGGCGTTCACTAAAAGATTGATCACAAGGACTTGCAAGGGAGTTATTGCCACTGTAATGGCCTTCTCAAGTTGCAATCAGTTACATCGAAAGACACTTTTCAAGTGCCAAAGCCTTCGAAACGAATATGCTGACGCAGTGGATCCTGGCCAAGGACCAAGACCATGCCAAGTGTGGTAACATCCTTCGCCAGCTGCTCCATGTCAGATAAGAGTGGGAGATACTCTGTTGAGGGAAGTGTTTTTATGTTCTCGTTGTTTAAGCTTCCCCGGTTTGATGGACGTCACTTTTGGCCCCTTTGCTCCTTGGGTCCTTTTAACCATGTTACATAACATTCCTATGTGTGCGGAGGCCCTTAAAAGTATGCTATGAAAAGCGTTCTATTGGAAATGATGCAATTTCACTTCTAGATACATATCTTTTTTGCATGGTGGATGAGGAGGTGGAGGAGACGGGGGGGGGGGTACCTAGCTTTGACCCAAATTTCATTTTGTTCTATATACTAGAATTCTATGTTTTAGGTCCTATATGTACCGATATACACATGGGGGAAATGGAAGTAATTATAGAGGTTTTTTTTCACTGTCATTCGGCAGGAACTCTCATAAAAAGTTGTGGGTCATTGTAAATGTCAGAAACAGTGGCAAAATTAGTTTGTTAATTAGCTTTTCATTTGGTCGCCCCCTCACAATCTTTGTTTCCTTTAGACTGGGGTCCTTTTTTTATATGTTCCTTTTTTTTTTGGTATTTACCAGGCGTGCGCATATATTTTATGTATCTGTTGGATACATTGGGGCGCGCATGGTTGAAGCTCCGCCCACGCAAAATGGCCTTAACAAAGATGGTTGCCGAAAAATCAATGACGTCACCCAGAGAATTTCCCGCATTTTCCTCTTGCTGAAGGTTATGCAAGAGATTGAGGAGTAGCTTCGTATATGTGTGTGGGCAGCCATTTTGTGGGTCTGGAAAAGCTTCGTAGGCAGCCCAGTCGGATGCTGCTGCTCATAGCTCCGCAGATCGTCAGCGAGTGTAGGCTGCTCAGTTCCCTAACAGTTCTCCAACAAGTGAAAGTTGCAAGAGATACAAGATATATATAAGAGAATACATCAGTAATCTGTTAAGTCCGTTTAATCAGTGAGTTAAAGCTCCGTCCCGCGAGTGTTTTCTCTGTGTTTTAATTGCTAAAAAGGAACTCTGTAAGTTGTCGCCAATTTAGACCACTCGTAGCACTCGCAGCTCCATCTTAGAGTTACATTTCGATACATTTCGTCCTCGCACATTCCTCTAGATCTCTCTACTTTTTTTAACGAAAGCCTCGTCGGTGATTCGTCGCCCCCAACACACAGTCAAAGTGAATTATCTAAAGCAGTATATCGACGATATCCGCAGGATTATCGGTAAGACTCCCAGATAAGATTTTGTCTGACATTCGTTGTTGCATAAGTTTCGTACTGTCCAAGGTTTTCTTTCTTCGCCATTAACTGCAGCTGTCTGTATCCCCATGTAAATTACGTGGAGATATATAGGGTTATATATGTACATATTTACAGTCGCAGGAAATTGGCTTAACACTCACTGCGCAATAGCAGATGGCGCCAAAAATGGAAAAAGGAGGGGTCCCGAAATCAGTGTATATACTATGTACTAGATATTTACCTCCCACTTGGAGCTTGCCCTTCAGTTGTCCTTGTCTCAAAGACCCCACATCCACCCATTTCCCCCCACTTCCCCTTCCATTCTCCACTCTGTTTATTTACACGCCCATTGCATTTTCACACCGTTTGTTTGTTTGTCTTGGTTATGCAATTTGTGTGTGTGGGCTGGTGTATAAAGGGGGTTTTCGAAAGGCAAGGTCTTATGTAACACCTGCCTCGGGGCCTTCGGATTTCGGTCGATTGCATAACATTGACTCACTTCATTTGGCCGAGCTCCATTTTTTCTTACTTAGCAGAGTCTGCTCCTTGGGATTCCCCTTATTAATGAAATCCCTTTCTTATTTTTTAAACTTGCAGAGGAGAAAATGTCACTCAATCCGAACGGGTATAAACTGTCCGAGAGGACGGGCAAACTGACGGCATATGGTGAGTATTTATTTTAATTTATTAAAGTAATTCAAAAAATTGGTATTGGGATTTAATTTTTAAGTTTCATTGCATAACACATTAAAATATAATTTTTTCTTTTAAGAAAATTTAAATTTCTTGTATTTTAAAATAATCTAGCATCCAAATTGTTACTCCCAAAAAATTTATTTATATTAATATAAAGCAAGGTAAAGTACTTTTTTAATTTATCATGAATTGTAAATATTCATATTTAAATAATTGGCCGACTTAGATTTTTTTTTTTAAACAATTATCATAAAACTAAATTGAAAAATTTAAGAGCAATGTTAAAAGAGATATAGTCATTTTAAAACCTATGAACCCACTATATCTTAAGTTTTGGGACATTTTTTTTTTCTAGCCAATGGGAACTAAGATTTTTGAACAACTTATGTTTTTAATTGTTTTTTCCTCTTAATATAATGAATTTTCTTTACTATCATAAAATAGTTTTTTAGGTCATAAGATTAAAATATGTCATTACTACAAAATTATATTTTGTGTTGGTTGTAAAGTATGGCTGAGGAAATAAAGTAATGTTATAGATATAGATTTTCTACATAAAATCTG